AGGGAGGGGCAATGAGGTGTTCCCAGAACTTGTGGAGCAATTGAGGCCTGAAAATGGAGGGATAGGCAGATCAGATGCAGGGCGTGGGGTTCCTGTGGTCAGTGAGTAGCCATTTTTTTTTTTTTTAAATAAAGACTGTAAGTGGGAGGATTTAAACCGGAACACCGAGTCCTTTGTTCCTCAAAATGACCTGGCTACTAGAGAGGCAGCAGCTTCTCTTTGGTGCCCCCTACATTCTGCACTTCTGACTGCTCAGTGTCCCTCTCTTCTCCCCAGTTTGCCCCCTCCCCACCTCCCACCCTCAAAACCCCACAGGGTTGATTTTACCTAGAGGAGCCTCCAGCCTGAAGTGAATACAGGTCTGTAGGATAGAGTTTGACCACTTCTTCTGAGTCCGGGCTCCTGTTTCTCACAATGGTCCAACACAGGCCAAGTTCAAATCCCAGCTCTCCGCTTGAGACATGGGCAGATCACTAGCCTCTCTGTCATGGTTCTCCCGCCATCAAATGAGAATATTGAATGCTGAGGCTCATAGGAGGGTGCACGAGGTCTTCTTGTGTGAAAATGCCAGGGGCACAAGGGGAAATGTCTGATAAGTGATGCTAATCACGGTTCTCTCCACAGCCACCAATACCTGCTCTGTGCTTGAGTCTATCTCAGTTTCCATCTGCTTTTCTGTCCCCGTTAGCCTTTCTCACAGTCCGCCCCAAAGTGCCATGCAGAAACATAAACCTGAACGTGCTTTGAAAATGCTCAGTTTTTCAAGGCTCAGTTTCCTCATCTGTAAAAATGAAGACTTTATTTTTTTTTCTATTGACTTTATTTCAAGTTAATTTAAATTGGCTAATTAAAGTTTATTTTTTTTAACTTTACTTGTCCTAGGTTATGGACAGTAAATGACATTAATTAAATTTTTGCAGTTAGTTTTTGAGTAACTTTACATAAACTTTGTCGGGGAGGCAAAAAACACAACTATTTAGTTTTCTATATGAGGCCCAAAAATTTTAATTACAGTTTTCCAGGCTCCCCTCTTTGACAGCCTGTCCACAGATAGATGGTGAAAGAGAGAGGTAAAAAGGTAACAGAGCCCTAACCGGTTTGGCTCAGTGGATAGAGCGTCAGCCTGCAGACTGAAGAGTCCCAGGTTCGATTCCGGTCAAGGGCATGTACCTTGGTTGCGGGCACATCCCCAGTAGGGGGCGTGCAGGAGGCAGCTGATCGATGTTTCTGTCTCATCGATGTTTCTAACTCTCTATTCCCTCCCCCTTCCTCTCTGTTAAAAATCAATAAAATATTTATAAAAAAAGGTAACAGATTGACAATGATGGCCATCGGCCTGGAACTTGCCACCTTTGTGCAGAGAGCAGGGTGTATGTGGAGGGGTGCACGTCAGTGACGGGCCTCTGAAATCAGACAATCCTTTATTTACATCTTAGGCCAGTGATTGCGAACGTATGACACACGTGTCAGAGGTGACACGCAAACTCATTTTTTTGGTTGATTTTTCTTTGTTAAATGGCATTTAAATATATAAAATAAATATCAAAAGTATAAGTCTTTGTTTTACTATGGTTGCAAATATCAAAAAATTTCTATATGTGACACGGCACCAGAGTTAAGTTAGGGTTTTTCAAAATGCTGACAAGCCGAGCTCAAAAGGTTCGCCATCACTGTCCTAGGCCTACCTTTTACTGACTGTGGGCATGTTCATTAAGCTCCTAAGTGTCTCATTCCTCTTCTGTGAAGCAAAGTTAACATGGATCGACTGGAATGCTCAGACGCTGCTGGTGGAAGTATGAATTGGTACAACCACTTGGAAAGCTGTCTAGTGGTAGGTCAAGTGACACCTATGCCTTTACCTACCCAGACACTCCACCAATGTTCGAGAGGCCGGCCCTGCTGGCTACAAAGATCCTTCCAATAATTTCCTGAGAGAAAGATTAGTGGAAGGAGCTGTTGCCTTGAGCTCAACCTTCCTGTCCCACGGTGGCCCCAAGACCCTGCCCCCAGGAGCCGGGACAGGATGGGTCTAATTAAAGGAAGCTGTGCACTTGTCCCTGCTGCTCTGGCAATTACTTCCTCTCACACACTCAAGGCTGGGGCTGACCTGAGCTCTCCTGCAAGAAACTTCTGGCCCTTTCATAACTTCTGAAGGTTCTTTGTTTGTTTTTCACATGCTGCTATGTTCTAATCTGACTGCTGCTTGTTTTGTCCTGGCTGTGGTTTTTGTTGTTTCCTCCTGAAAGATGTCTGCTTTAGTTGATGTGACATTGAGAATCTGGAAGATCGGAGGGTAATAGTTTTGGGGTCAGGTTGCTCCATATAACTTAGTATACCTGGGAGCTGAGGACCATGAGTAGCCTGAAAGCAGCACCAACAATAACTTGCCCATCTTGGGAAGGGCCAGGACAGAACAAGCCCCTATAGACCTCAGGGAAAATGATTCGGATCCTGCCTTCACATTTGGTCACGATGTCACCCTCATCTTCAGCTGAAGGACAGCAGGCACCTGTCCTTCTGACAGCTGTACAGTGCAGGTGGAAAAGAGCACCTGAGAGGTGGGCTCAGCTCTGCCTGTCACTCTCTTGGTGGCTTTTGCCAAGTCCTTGCTGAATCTCCGTTTCCTCGTCTATCACACAAGGTAGCAAGAGCATCCCTGCCGACTTCCTGGGGCCGCTGTGGAGACCCCTGTCAAAATGAGAGAATGGGCCAGAGAGCAGTTTGCAACTGTGTCGTGATGGCCACGCAGGAGGCCAGCATCTCCCAGAGTTCTCCTAAGGAACCCCAGTTCTGAGGGATGTGAATGGGTGTTATTTGGAAAAGAACTTTTTTCAATGTGAAGAATAGGTTTGGGAAGTTCTGGGTTAACAGCATATAAATCGGTCCTTCACTGCAGGACTTCTCAGAGACTTGCGTGTACTCTGAATCTCCGTGAGTGTTATCCAAACAGTGTAGGAGAGAAGCATAACGTGGAAAACTGGGAGATTCCACACAACACCCTCTACGAGCATTGGCAGATTAGAGAACACAAGAGTCCTTCCATGGAGGACACAGGCATCATCTCGACAGTTATCACGTTAATGCTTGGATCATAAGAGACATCGTCTACAGTCTTTACAGATGGTTTAAAATTGTAATGGAGTCTGTATTGAACAAAAGGAAGGGTAAAAACTGGGCTGAATTAAGAAAAAAGAGAGAGACATCAAATAGATGGGCTAGATTCGTTAGTTTAACCAGTGAGAGCTAAAGAGGAGCCACAACATGAAAGACACTGAGGCTCTTGATACCAAAAATGACCCAGGAGAAAGCTTCGGCCACGTGGGAAGAACCTGAGCGAGATCCCGGAGTCACCTCATGGCCTGCCAGAGTCTACAGACTCCTGAGTCATATTCCTATCAGGAATCGCATGTGGTTGCATTTATCCTCACTTGGAGTAACCCCCGTTTTAACTTTTTCTAAAGCTGAATTTCTGGATGAAATGGGCCCCCAAGACAGCCCCCCTTCTGGGAGACCCTCCCAACACCGTTCTTGTTCAAGGGGCTAGAAATCAGACCCTTGTAACCTCTCCACCCAGGGATGCCTCATATAACCCATGGCAAAGGCCACTTTTCTAATAACATAAAATAACTAAGAACTTCTTAGCTTCTCTTTTTCAGACCAGAAGCTTCCAGTTCCTCTACCTCTTCTCTGACAGGGGTTCTGCTGACCCAGCTGGTGGAGTGCTGGCTGCTAAGCTCCCTCCAGCAGCGGCCCCAGGATGCCCAGATGCCCTTCTGGTAGAATGTCTGTCCTTTCTTCCCATCTTTTCTGCATCATTTGAAGCATATAGCACAGTCCTACCTACCTAGCAGCTGTTCATAAACATGTGGTGAATTTCATTGACTTGTCCACTTAGCCATTTCATCAAAAATGGCACCAAACATGGTCAGAGCTCTTCCCACAAATGTAGGGTGAGCACCGGCTCTGTGCCCAGCACCGTGCTAAATCCCCTGCACACATCGCACAGAAGCAGGCACTGGGCTCTGCCCTGTGAAGCTTATGCCATATGTTACTCTGCCCACACCATGCTTGCTTAGCCCTTTTGCACATTTATCCAGGTGGCTCCATAGCACCCCTGTGATGTGGTTATTATTTCCAGTTTACAGGTGAGACCGCTGAGGTCCAGGTAGACTATATGATTAACCCAAGGTCATACAACTGAAACTCGAACTCCAGTTTTCTTGGGTTGGGAAAACTTGTGCTACAACCTGCCTCATTGAAATAGCCTATTGAGCTCTGCAGAACAATTAAGTTATCCTCTAGTCCAGTGGTCGGCAAACTGCGGCCCCTTGAGTGTGGCTCTTCCACAAAATACCACGTGCGGGCGCGCACATACAGTGCGATTGAAACTTCGTGGCCACACTGAAGGGGCCAAAGAGCCGCATGTGGCTTGCAAGCCGCAGTTTGCCGACCACGGCTCTAGTCAACATTCTTCCTGCACAGGGACATTCCAATCTTGTTTCATTATCCTGCTTCTCCGTGGGTTAAAGCAATAATTATTCGAGAATCATCACCCCTGCCCAGCCGGCGTGGCTCAGTGGTTGACCATCAACCTATGAACCAGGAAGTCACGGTTTAGTTCCCAGTTAGGGCACATGTGTGGGTTGCAGGCTTGATCCCCAGTGTGGGGCATGCAGGAGGCAGCCGATCAAGGATTCCCAGTCATCACTGATGTTTATCTCTCTCCCCCTCTCCCTTTCTTTCTGGAATCAATACAAATATATATATATTTTAAAAAGAATTATCACTCCTTCCTCAAAAATGAGCAACGCCAAGCAAATTCAGAACCCCTAAGAACCCTTTAGGAGCTGTTCAACATCAGCAGCGTTCTTGTTAGGGATTACTCAACTGAGTGTGCGATATTGATCATTGAAAACAAGAACTGCACCAAACTTGATATCTTTCTGAAAACTTGCAAAACCTGAGACAGTAGCCTGCTCAGAAAAGGAAGTTGGGTTGTTTCCCACCTTTCTAACTCTGAACAGATGGTACCGCCAGTTCATCAGTGGCGAGACCTAAGCTATCGCTGGACGCCTAAAGGACTTTGCTAAATTAGCAGGTACCACTTGTCTTCTTTTTATTTTCATCTGGGGGAGGATTTACTAAATGCAAAAGAAGCTGTTCATTTAGAAGAGACTTCCAGGAAGACTGTCAGGTTTCTAGGAAAGAGGAGATGGAACGAGGGGTGTAGGCGGGTGGAAGCAATACCTCCCAGGAGTGCCCTTGAAGGAGGGAGGCAGAGGGGAGGGAGATCCACCCCAGTTTAGTAAGTAGCATGGGGCCGAAGTGGGAGAGTGTGTTATAAAATATGTCCATTATCTTCTTGCTTTCTCCCATTTCCCTGTCTTTCTCCCACTCACACCAAGATACGTCTGTCCCTTCCACTCATCCTAACTCAGCCTTTTATGCCTGTTCGGTCACTATACCCATAACTGTGCCCATGTTGCCTTCCCTAAGGCTTTCATAAATTCTCGACTCATTGAGAAGCTGACTGACCACTCCACGAGGGTTACACTTAGTAGTTTTGTGTCGATTGATACTGACTTGTAAGAAAACTTGTTTCAAGTTTTCATTGAAAATCCGCTCTGAGTCAGACTATTAGATGAATCAGTGGACTGATGTGGTGTCTTTTTGTCTGAATCTACAAGGTTGACTGCTTTGCCTGGACCTGTGTGAGAGGGTGGGTAGGGACAGAAATCTTTTCTAATCTAGGAAAACTTGGATTGGCTGGAGATGGAAATTAAGTGTTATTTGATGCGTGTTTGGGGGGAGGTAGGTGGGAATATGGTGTCTTTAGCATATGGAAGCAATAGGAGTTGGAACACATTTGCAGCTCTTGTCAGAGGTGGTGATGATAACATTGAACCATGCAGGCTGAGTTACTTCTGCTGGGGAAAGAAAGCACTGTATGACTCAGTAAGAGAAAAACAGATATAGCCAGTGGAATAAAAAGGGTAGAGGGCACAAACAGATAATTCATAGAAAAGGAAATACGTGTGACTAATAATTACAGTTTAAAAAGAAATTAAATAAATGTTACAACAATAATGGCATCCCTGTGGCCATATAATTGGCAAAATAATTATGTTCTTTTAAAACCTTCTCTGTGTTGATGGATGCTTGCTGAGAAGGGTATCATCACCTACTAGTGCCAAGAGTAAATATATTGTTACACACTTTCTGGGAGCAATTTGGCAAAATGCATCAAGAGCCTTAGCAATATGACTGCAAGTAGAAATGGTGCTTTGGGAAATCTACGTTAAGGAAATAACAAAAAATGCAGGCAAATATGTTTATTGCAGCACTTTTTATAAAAGTGCACATTGGAAACAATTATTCATCAATAAGACAATGATTAATCACAAATATCTATACAATATGTTGGAATCATTACAAATTATATTTTCTAATAACTTTTAACCACATGGAACTAGATGCAGGATATAAAATTTAAACTATCAGAATATAAAATAATTCACGAGGGTGATATCAATGACAACACACATGATACCTAGAAAAGAGACAGTGGTTCTCTCTCCATGGCACAGGCGGGGATGGAAGGACCAGGGGCCAGGAAGTTGAACCCTCTGATCATGCTGAACACCCCCGGCCACAGCCAGCACCTCTCCTCCCCAAGTGCCATTTCTGCAGGGTGATGCCCCTGGCTCCTTCGCTCATCTTCACTGGGTAGGGTTTCCTCTTGGCTACGTTTCAGTTAGGCAATGTTTGCATTAAATGTCTTGCCTGGGACCTCACACAGTGCTATGGATACAATCTTGGACCACTTTAAAAACCCCATCACCTGCTAATCTGTAATTCTAGGTGACCATAAGGTTAGCTTGTGATGAGGTTTTTGAAAAAACTCCCTGCATGTAAACTTGGATCACATTAAGAGAAGTGTTGTATGCAAATCATGGAAAGTGACCATTTACACAGCATCCTAAATTGGTTAAAAGTAAGTCTCCACTCTGGGTGGTTGTACATCAGCTCCAGCCAAGATCAAAAAGAAGAAGCAAGCCACTAACATTTCTAAGCAAAAATCAAATGCTTCATCTAGCATAGCCTCCACCTCAGGTTTCTTAGGTCTCCGCTGTGGTTTCAAGTTCTGATGAGTACTAATAAGCCCTTTGTCAAGTAATTTGCCTAGGGTTTCAACCCAATTACCTTAGGTATTTGCTAAGTCTTTCAGTGGTCACTGCTACTGAGCACCAGCCTTCAGTTACAATTTAATTATAAGCAAATATAGAAAAATTTCAAATTTTACAACTTTAAAAATGATCATCCACTTTCCTGCCACCACTATTTTTACTTTTTGTCCATTGCCTTTTATGTGTACATATAGTTCCATGTTGTGATCTCAATTTTCTCTCCATTTTTCATGAACATTTGTCTGTTTCTACCTGGTCTCCAGAACTGCTTATAATGACTGCATAATAAATACTCTATTGTGTAAATGGACTACAATTTGTTCAGCATATCCTTCATGTGTCCAACATTTAGACCATTTCCATTTCTTTGTCTCTTTCTATAATGAAAATGATGCCACGACGATGCTTATCAACATGGAGAGGTATTTGCTAAATATTCCACACTGAAAAAGGAGGCTGCCTATATATTGTTAGGATGAACTACCCCTAATCTCTTCTGCTCAGACATGTTTCTGAAATATACATTGTTATAAGCCTTTTCTCATAGCTTGAGGCAGACAGCTGGCGTCTGCAAGATAAGAGCTCCTCTTCACCTGACTGACCTGTGCACTCTCCTCCTTTGCCTCCCTGGACCGACTCCTGCCCTTCCCTCCCCTCCATTCCTTCTGCTTGACCATCTGGCGCACCCACACCCTGACCCTATGTTGCATACTTCTACCCTACATAAGAGAACCTAACCATCCCCTTGGGGCTGACATCCACACACAATGGTTTATTGTGAGAGAATGCAATAATACAACGTCCCTTACTTGGCTACTGTCCCTGCAGAACTAACATTTTGGTGCCCAAACCACGGGCCTGTGGGAACCCCCACACCTGACTGCAGGCTTCTCCAGACCACACCGCCCACTCAAATTTCTGATAAGTATCACTTCCCTTGACCCTCTGATTTGCCAGCTTTTGCCTCACCAAAGTCCTCACATGTGAGGCAAGAGGGTCCACTCTGCCAGGGCCAGATCCCTGGTGACCCTGTGTTAGTGGGACGCCCTAACATAGCAATCTTCTGCTTATCTCTGGTTGGGAGGCCTTCCCTTCAGACTTCTCACCTCCGGGATAAACTTCTTAGTCACCTATCCCCTTCTCCACCACACCAACCCATTATGGGGAACCAGCACCCCTTTGGGTTGCCTCTTATGGGATCTTAACCTCAAAGCCAATATCAGACCCAAAGGGCTCATTTTCTACTGCAACACGGCTTGGCCCCAACATGATAATGAGGTCTCATCGCCTGCCTCCTGTGGGCACGGACTTAACATATATATATTTTTGGACCTGGCTGGACAGGAATGTGGGGATGAGGCTCCTCTCCTTGAATGTGGGGAGGAGGCTCCTCTCCTTCTGCCTCCAGGAATCGTGAGGAAAGAGACAATGGTCATGGGAGGAAGCCATCTCATCTGTGGTTCCCTATCTTTCCCATCCAGGCTTTGACCGGAGTGGTTGTGTGCAGAGGACTCTGATAAATTGGGGGGAACCTAACCCATTGTGGGGAACCAGCACCCCTTTGGGTTGCCTCTTATGGGATCTTAACCTCAAAGCCAATATCAGACCCAAAGGGCTCATTTTCTACTGCAACACGGCTTGGCTCCAACATGATAATGCGGTCTCTTCGCCTGCCTCCTGTGGGCACCGACCTAACATATATATTTCTTTGGACCTGGCTGGACAGGAATGTGGGGAGGAGGCTCCTCTCCTTCTGCCTCCAGGAATCGTGAGGAAAGAGACAATGGTCATGGGAGGAAGCCATCTCACCTGTGATTCCCTATCTTTCCCATCCAGGCTTTGACGCGGAGGACTCTGATAAATTGGGGGGAACCCTAAGAGGGTGTCTCCCTGCAACTCACCTCTTTGCCCACATGGGATAGCAGTTAAGTGGGAGGTCAGGCGGCAAAAAAATCTAGTCTGCCCTCTTGAGAGTTCCTGGTTTGTATGAGGCCTGGGTGCCTGTCCATTCTGAAGGGGCACAGGTCCTGAGCCACCCCACACTGAGGCTTGAGCCTGCAGCCCTGACTAGGAAATGAACTGTGACCTCCTGATTCATAGGTCGACGCTCATCCACTGAGCCATGTCAGCCGGGCACCACTGCCGTTTTAGAAAGGACCAGTGAGAGAAGACAAGAAACTAAAATTATGAGCTGGCAACAACTTGAGGTTTTACTAATTTCTCTATATGTTGCCAGGCAAAGTTTAAGCCACTTTGACTCCAATTTGTGAATTCTGTTTTTGGCTCCCCAGCGAGTGCAAAGCTGGTAACAGAGATCCAAATAGTTTTGGACACTACAGAGGCTTCATTTGCATTGCACAGTGGAGCTGTATGAAGAGCAATTTCAGTGAACCAGCTAAAGCAGCAGCATCTCATTTTTTGGGGGGGTAAAGTGTATACCCATGTGTACACATTGCAGGGAGAAATGTTAATATTAGTGCTAAACTCAGCATGATGAGATTTGGGGTGCTTTTCAACTTTCATTTTTTGCTTTCCTTTATTGTTGATGTTTGTTTCTTTACTATTGTTGTCTTATTTTTCTGAAATGTACAAAGCCGTTTTTAAAAGCCTAATTCAAACCTATTTCAGATTTAAGTATTCATTTTCACTAAAACTGTGTAGAAAGATGAAAAGCGCATCTAACTACATGAAGCCAGTTTTCATATTTCTGACCCCATGTGACTAGTAATTCTGGACTCGCCTCTGTAGAAGCTGCTTTTGCGCTCCCCTATGTGTTGCACTCTAGCGCCCCCTAAAGGGTCCCCAATGTTAGCTCACTGATCATGTTGATTTTATGGAAGTGACATGTGATTTAAAGACATGTGATTTGTTCAAGTTGAACAAAACTTCAGGAGAATTTTTTAAATTGTCTTGTTTTAGATCAGTCTGGGAGAGAAGGAAAGGAAATACAAAGAATTAATGCTGAGTAGAGGCTACTACACCTTTGCTGTCTGGAGCGGGCAGCTCTACTCCTTTGACATTAAAGCAGAGAGGGACGCTCTCTGTGGTTGTAAATGCACAACACATAGAAGGATGTGGGGTTTTTCTCAGCTGCTGTGGATTATGCCATTAGGAATAAGACTGCTGATAAGATCAGATCAATCGGCCATTCCTCCGTGTTCCAGCTGGAAAACCTGCCTGTGTCACTGATGTACTGGGACAGAGCCATGCAAACAGGTCCACAGAGCCTCCATTTCCCTAATTTCATCTGCAATGGCTTCTCGTTGCCTTTCTTTCACTTCTGCTTCTTTCCCATGTTACAGCTGTTCTGAGTTTCACATGCGGTCTCATGTGCACTGTCTCATCTGGTCCTTACCACAACCTCAAGCAGTATCATGATCCTTATTTTGGAGATGAGCTAATGAGGCTCAGAGGTGAGGGCTTGGCCCAGGCCTGCAGCTGGTGAGAGGAAGGGCCAGGACCGGCTGCTGTGCCCCCCACCCCCGACAGAACCCTGGCAGGGCAGATCTTTGGGGGCTCAGTGCTCTGTTAGGGAGCAAAGACAAGTAAGTCCTGGCCATTGGCTCCAGTTGTTGCTTTTCTAGGACTTGCCTGGAGAAACACCCACTGACTTAAACATTCATGTCTTTCCCCATCCTCTGCACGGAGAGGATTGAGTCAGCAGAATTTCCTCCGAGGCAGTAGTGCAGGGATTGACTGTCCTTCCTAGGGCTCCCTCCTTGTCTGGTTTTCCTCTTTCTCCGGTGAAGTCTGTAATTATAAGAAAAGCAGGCACTGACCCTGGGGATCCTGATCTTAAAAATATCAAATCTGATAAGGAATCCATCCCCTTGGCCTACATGACAGGCTTGTCTCAGTATTATGAGGAGCAGAAAGGAGGTAAATTAACTTAGGTTAATACTGCTTATAGCTGTAATTGTTATAATAGTTAGTAATAAATCTAATAGCTACATCATCAAAAGTGAAACTTAAAAGTCACTGCATTTGACTCTAGTGATGAGAAAATTGGTCATAGATACTGAAGATCTAGTCTGAACTTAAAAATATATGTATATTTTTTTAAAATAGATTTTTATTGATTTCAAAGAGGAAGGGAGAGGGAGAGAAAGACACCTCAATGATGAGAGTCATTGATTGGCTGCCTCCTGCACACTCCCTGCTGGGAATTGAGCCCCAAACCTGGGCATATGTCTGGACTGGGAATAGAACTATGACCTCCTGGTTCATAGGTCAATGCTCAACCACTGAGCCACACCGGCTAGGCAAAAAAATTTTTTTAATCCTCACTGTAGGACACATTTTCATTGATTTTTAGAGAGAGAGGAAGGGAGAGCGATACATCCATGTGAGAGAAAATATCAATTGGTTTCCTCCTGTATGCACCTCAACAAGAGGAAACCTGGGTATGTGCCCTGTCTGGGAATCAAACCCATAACCTGAATGAGACGACACTCCAACCAACTGAGCCACACCAGCCAGGGCTAGCCTGAACTTCTGTATTCACTTGTTAGAGAGTTCGGGGTAAGTAACTAAATTTCGTCAAATTTCAATTTCCCCATGAGCTATGGTGACCAGCACATTATCATGAGGCCAGGGAGAGAGGTCATTTTTTGTAATAACAATAATCACTATTGTTATTAAAAAGCATTTAGTTTTTAAATAGGTAAGATGATTTTGAAAGTCATATATAAACCGTGAAACATAAAATGCAAACTATCTTAAAAGTTACAGTAATAGGAATAACGATGATATTATTGTTATTGTCACTGTTTCCCAGCCTGTGTTCTCCTGTTTTGTGCTTCTTTCAAATGCTTTCAGAAACCAACATCCCCAGTCTTTACCGCCCCCCATGGCCTTTCTGTCTCCTTTCTCATTGCGGTCATGCTGACTTTCCAATCTTCCATCTGGCACTGCTGACTCCTCCCTCATAGCAGCTCTGATGGACACACTGAAGTGCCTCTGGACACACTGAAGTGCCTCTGCACACACAGGTTGTTTATCACATGTGGTTTTGTTGGGTAAGTAACAAACCAACTGGGATTCAGAAACAGTGGTCGTGCCTAATTGTGCGGTTGTTTCTGCTTCTTCTACCGCAGGGACCAGAGACATGGCAACCACAATAGTCTGGCCTGAGATGGAGGGAGAGACCACCTTCTACGAGTATGGGCTCTCCACACCATGTGTCAAAGCCAATGTCCAAGCGCTGGGGACCCAGCTGCTGCCCCCACTCTACGCCCTGGTGTTCGGGGTCGGGCTGCTGGGCAACGTGATGGTGGTGGTGATCCTCACAAAGTACAGGCGCCTCTGCGTTCTGACCAACATCTACCTGCTCAACCTGGCCATCTGCGACTTGCTCTTCCTCTTCACGCTGCCCTTCTGGATCCACTATCTGAAGTGGAATGAGTGGGTTTTTGGCCACTGTATGTGCAAGTTGCTCTCAGGGCTTTACTGCATCGGCTTGTACGGGGAGATCTTTTTCATCATCCTGCTGACCTTAGACCGGTATCTGGCCATCGTCCATGCCGTGTTTGCCCTGCGAACCCGGACTGTCACTATTGGCATCATAAGCAGTGTCATCACGTGGGCCCTGGCGGGGCTGGTGGCCCTCCCTGAATTTATCTTCCATAAGGCCCAGGAGCAGTCCGGAATGCTGTTCTGTAGTTCCCTGTACCCCGAGGACGAGGAGGACGCCTGGAAGCATTTCTATGCCGTGAGGATGAACCTCTTGAGCCTGGCTCTGCCCCTGCTCATTATGGTGGTCTGCTACTCCGGAATCATCAAGACGCTGATGAGATGTCCCAGCAGGAAAAAGCACAAGGCCATCCGGCTCATATTTATCATCATGGTGGTCTTTTTCATTTTCTGGGCCCCCTACAACCTGGTGGTCCTTCTCTCTGCTTTTCAAGAGATCTTCTTTGACATCAGCTGCGTGCGGAGCAACCAGCTGGACGTGGCCTTGCAGGTGACGGAGGTGATCTCCTACACGCACTGCTGCGTCAACCCCGTCATCTACGCCTTCGTCGGGGAGAGGTTCCGGAAGCACCTGCGCCACTTCTTCCACAGGCAGGTGGTGGTGCGCCTGGGCAAATGCCACCTCTTCCTTCCCGGTGAGAAACTGGAAAGAACCAGCTCTGTGTCCCCGTCAACAGGGGAGCAGGAACTCTCTGCTGTATTTTAGGTCGGATGCAGGAAACTGCCTCAAGAAGATGCGCTGGGCACAGGAAGCAAATGCATTGGAGCCAACGACATCAGTGCTTTGAACTTCCAGTGCAACACTGAAAAAGCTCTTGAAGACATTAAAAATATAGACACAATGGTCGTGGTCTATCCATGCCCCACGCAGTCATTACCAGAGGCCAATGGCTGGCCAGCTTACTTACTGTCAACCTTGAAAAGCAGAGCTTTGCTTGTGAAGAGTTAACATGCATTTTAACGCACGTGTTAGGGAGTTAGGATATGCAGCTACACACAGGCAAAGCTTTGTATATTTTAAGTCTTCACTTCAGCCAGCTATTGACATGAATGAAACATATTTCACAAAATACAATAAATCAGTTACGTTACTTCTTAAGGTGCCTCGCTCTTTCCTTGCTTGATAAAAAGGCTCTGTTTGTTTTTGTTTTGTTTTGTTTTTTACAGTTTATGGCTATGTACTCTCAAGCAACATAATGGTATGCCACACCTGCTCTGAGTATTGTTAATACTGAGTTGATTTTCTATTCATACCAAATGACCACATTTCCCATGAGTGACTCAACAGAAGAGCAATTTGGCATTTTCAGTATAGAGAATAAAGGGCCTGCTCATAGACTGTACTCCTAAATGCCTGTCTCACTGCTCATTCAACCACTGTGTGTGAGGTGATATAGACAGGATGCACTACCATAGCTTTCAGCTAAGGGAAGGATGCAAAATATATAAGAAAACACAATTCTTGCCTCCAGGAAACCTTTCATTGAGTAGGGGTATAAGACAGAAAGAAATAACTCCAGTGCAAAGAGGAACAAACTCAATGCTATGCCTGGCCCAGGAAGGCGGAGTCTGAGAGAGGAAGACTTCATGGAGGAAGTGGCTTTTGAGCAGGTTTATGAAGGAGGAACAGGACTGGAAAGGGAGAGGATTTGGGAGGCACCTTAAGCCAATGAAATGCCCAATACAAAGATGAGAGGGGAGAGCATGGACATGTGTGGATGGAAGGGTCGGCCTGGTGGGCTGGGAAGGGTCATGAATTTCAGGCAAAGCATCTTAGGCTTTGTTGGGAAGGCAAGGGGAGCTAGTAAAAGGTTCTGAGAAAATTATCAACCTGCTGCCTTAGGAAGATAAAGAAGGTCATACACAGAGGATGGAGAGAAGGCCCCAGAACCATGCAGGAGATAAGTTAGGGGACAAGTGCAAGTGTGGAGGCAATAAAAGACCAACAGCTGGGAAGAGAGGTGGCAGGAGCACCCAGAGAAGAACTTGGCCAAGAGACAGCATGACGTCAGAGCACCAGGAGTGATATATGGTTGATTGGAAAAAATCAAAGGCCAACATCATATGTAAGAGAGAGAAGGAGAGAGAGAGAGAGAGAGACTGACTTTCATTGAGAAGTAGTGTCTGCCCTTAGGTAATTACAGTACCAGATAAAGGTGCTTGTTTATATGCTCCCCTGGTCCCTGAAGGCTTTTAGAGGCTTTGTGACCCACACAAACTGCCCACAATCAAATCATGACTTCAGGGTGCTCCATTGTGCTCCCCAGCCCAGCATATCTGCACCATCCAGTGTGCTCACTACCAGCGCGTGCAGCTATGAGCACTTGAAATATGGCTAGTGTGTTTGAGGAACTGAAATTTTAATTTTTATTCATTTTTAATTGACTTTTTAGAGAGAGGGAGAAAGAGGGGGTAGGGAGGGAAGGAAGGAGGGGGAGAGAGGGAGAGAGAGAGAGAGAGAGAGATTTCAGAGAAAGGAAGGAAGAGGGAGTCAGGGATACAAACATCAATGTAGAGAGAGTATCATTGATCACCTGCTTCTTCACACCCCTACTGGGGACTGAGCCCACAACCCAAGCATGTCCCTGACCAGAAATAGAACTGGCAACCTTTTGGTGCACAGGACAACACCCAACCAACTGGGCCACACCAGCCAGGGCAGTTTGTATTCAATTTTAATAGTCACGTGAAGCTAGTGGCTGCTTCATCTGGTAAGTAGCGCAGCACTATTCCCTTCAAACTCGCCTCTTCACCTCTACTCTACCTACGCAACCAGTGTCCTGTAGTCAGCACACACATGCCTTGAACACTCTGCCACAGCAGGAGGAAT